CGTGATCACCACCACCATTACCATTATCATCATCATCATCATCAGCATCCTCATCATCCTCATATCGGCATAGTCATCATCAGCAACATCGACATCATCATCATTGGCATCATGTTCAGCATTACCACCTCCACCATCACCACTATCATTGTTAGTAGCATCGTTGTCCTAATCGTCATCACCCACGTCGTCAGCAGCACAAGCACCGTCATTATCAGCAACATCTTTCGCGACACCATCATCATCGTCATCAATAGCAGCATCATCATCGTCGTCATCGTCGTCGTCGTTGTCGTCGCCATCATCAGCATCATCGTCATCGTCATCGTCATCGTCATCACCATCATCATCATCGCCATGCTCGTCGTCATCGGGTCATTGTCATAGTCACCATCAGCCTCATCGTAGTCATCGGCAACATCAGAGACGTGTTCGTCATCGTCAGCATCCTTAGCACGCCCACCATCGTCATCGGCATTGTCGTCGTCATTGCCATCATCCTCATCGGCATCAGCATCGTCCCCATCATCCCCATCGCTGTCGACAGCATCGTCATTACTTCCATCGTCATCAGTGTCATGATCCCCTCCATCGTCGTCAATACCATTGTCATCATCAGCGTCACCCTGTCCATCCTCATCGTCGCCACAATCATCGTACGGAACATTATATGCGGCAACAGCATCATCACCATCACCATCACCATCATCATCACCAGCATCATCATCTGCATCATCATCGCCACCACCACCACCATCATCATGACCAGCATCGTCACCGTCGTCACAGGCATCAAGCTCATCCGTACCATCCTCGCCGCTACCCTCATCGTCCAAATCGTCGGTGTCATCGCAATGACCACCAACATCATCACCAGTATCACATCAACATGATACACATCGTCATCGTCATCGTTCCCATCCTCATTCTGACCCCCTCATCCTCAACATCATCGTCATCGTCACCATCACCAACGACCAAGGGGCCTCCAGGACTCTGAGCCTCCGGAGGGGCCACCAAGAACCTCCTAAGGGGCCACCAGGAACCTCCTGCGGGGCCACCCAGAACCTTCTGCGGGGCCGCCAGGAACCTCCTGAGGGGCCACCAAGAAGCTCCTGCTGGGCCACCAAGAACCTCCTGAGGGGCCACCAAGAAGCCCCTGACGGGGTCACGAAGAACCTCCCGAGGAGCCGCTAAGAGCTTCCTGAGGGGTCACCAAAAGCGTCGAACCCTAAACTCCGAAGTTTAGGGATTCTCTTCCCCTCCAGATCCCACAAGCCCTCTGGGCGTAGGTAGTCTAACGATAATCATTTGTTCCTCTTCTCAAACCCCTCTTCACCTTCGGGGAGGGGTTTATCACTGTTCCCTATTAATATACACCTCCCCCCCAGGCGACAGGGAGCCAACCCAGGTCCATGCGCCCCCCCCCCACCATCCCTTTTAAACAACAATATAAAACACACTCTGCCCCCACCATCCCTTGTAACAAGCAATACAAAACGCACTCGGCCTCCAAATTCGGAGCATGCGCAGCGAACCCGATGCGGCCTCCCACCACCATCCCTGTCAAACACCATACAGAGTACACTTGGCGGCGGCGGCGGCTGCGGCGGAGGCAGCGGCTGCGGCGGCTGCGGCGGTGGCGGCGGCGGGGGCGGCGGCGGGGGCGGCGGCGGCGGCGCGGCGGCGGCGGCGGCAGCGGTGGCGGCAGCGACTGCGGCGGCAGCGGATGCGGCGGCGGCGGTTCGGCAGCGGGGGCGGCGGCGGCGGCGGCGGCAGGCGGCGCAGTGGCGGCGGCGGCGGCGGCGGACAGCGGCGGCAGCGGCGGCGGCGGCGGACGCGGATGCGCCCCCAGTAGCTGCCCAACCAACGACGACTGCTGCATATGCTGCGGTTCGGGCTAGGCTCGGGTGCTACGTATGTGTTGGGAGGGCGGGTGGGAGTGAGCGAGACGGCTTGCGGGCGGGGAGGAAGACTCTTGACCCCTCCCCCTACCCTATCCCGGACTTTTTTGTGGGGGGTCGGGAGTCGTTGGAGGGCTATTCTTCGACCCCTGGGAGGGCCAATGTTTGACACCACGCACGAGCATCGTGGCCCCTGAGGGGGGGCCTCGATCGGGAGCTTCCCTCTTTTGATCGATAACTTCGAAGATGGCCCCAAGAGGCGCTCCAAGGCTCCCAAGAAAGCCCCAAGAGAAGAGGGCTCCAAGAGGGTCCCAAGAGGGCCCCAAGAGGCACTCGAAAGACTCCCAAGAGGCCCCGAGCGGCCTCAGAGAGCCCAAGATGACCTCCATCCAAGATGGCTCAGATAGCCCAAGCCGGCTCAAAATGGCTCCCAAGATGCTCCCAAACGGCCCCAAGACCGCTCCAAGAGCGCTCCAATAGAGCCCAAAGAAGCGGGTTGTCGGCTCCTGAGGGGGGAGCTGAGTTGGGGACCCCCCCCATCCTGTAATCGATGGCCTCTAAGATGATCCCAAGAAGCCTTCCAGGGTTACCAAGAGGATTCCAAGAGGGCCCCCCAAACACCACCAGCAGCAGCAACCTAATCCTCGTCCTCCTCGTCCTCGTCCTCATCCGCGTCCTCCTATTCCTCCTATTCCTCCTTGTCCTCATCCTCATCCTGCTGCTCCTCCTCTTCCCCTCGCCCCCACGCGGCCCCCAGGGATGGCCCGAAGAGGCCTTCCAAGGCCACCTCCTTGCTCCCAGAGATCTCTCGGTTCACCCTGGTTGCTCGCTTTGTTTCCCTAGATGTGTCTCTTCGTCCCTTTTCCCGTCAGCTCTAATGGGCAGGGCTTCTGAATGGGCTGGTGGGGGGTACGCGAAGCGTGAATAATTTGCAAGAGTTACACGGATTCCCATGAACAGCGTACTAGAAATTTTGTGTTGGAAAGATTCAGGATTATGATGGTGTCACAGTTACGTTGATTCGGGGTATTGAAGTCCCAAAAATGGCGTTCTGGCACGACTCCGACTCAGGATCGTCAAGACGCAACAGTCAGGTTGATATGTGGCGTTGGAGTCCTGAGAATAATGTGTTGGCATGCTTCAGGGTCTTCAAGCGGTCGTCTTCCAACGAGGCAGTTCTTTCAGTGGAGCTGAAGCGTTGTAGGGGCCTATGAAGAGGGAGCTAGGAGGGATGAGTATTCCAATCTCGTTAATGACTCTTGGGTTTGCACTGGTCATCCTCCTCCTCATCCTCATCATCATCATCATCATCATCAGCATCAGCAGCGTCATCATCCACATCAGCATTATCATCAATTTCATTATCATCAACAGCATCGCCAGCATCATCATCCATCATCATCAGCATCATCATAAACAATATCATCATCATCATCATCATCATCATCAGCATCATCATCATCATCATCATCATCATCATCAGCATTACCACCGTCATCATCATCCTCATCATCATTATCATCAGCATCATCATCATCATCATCAACAACATCATCATCACCATTATCATCCGCCTCATCCCGTCCTTGTCCTTCTGCTGCCCCCCTCACCCCCGTCCATGTCATCACTCCTCCGATTCGTCCCTCCCCTCCATCTCATCAATACCCTCCTCCTCCTCCTCCTTCTCCTCCCCCACTTTGATATCATCCCTCTCCTGCTCGTGTTGATCCCTCTCCACCAACTCTTCCAGCTTCTGCAGCTCGTGTTCCTCGAGCCTCCGCCTCCTCCTCACCATCATGATCGCCATCATCTGCAACATCATCATAATCTTCATCCTCATTTTCCTAATCCTCCGCTCTCTCTCTCTCTCTCTCTCTCTCTTTCTCTCTCCCTTTCCCCAAACATCGTTATCACAAGCCTCATCGTTACACTCATTCTGGAATCGCGTTAACTCCCTCATCCTGGTCCGCTGGCCAACTTCTGCTCCTATGTCTGCTCCTCCATCACTGGTTCGCGTGTGCTCGGGAAGCCCTTTCTGAGCCCTGGGGGTCTGTCCTCCTCGGTTGGGGTAACGCTGAGCACTATGAGCCATGAGGCTCTCCTGGGTGTTACTTGGGTTGCCATGGGCTACTGGGACCCTGATGGGCTGCCTTGGGTCCTTGATGTTTCGCAAGAAAAAAGGAGGGCGCTGCGACAATACAATAAACATCAGGGCACAGGCGGCGGCATATGGCGTGCTCTCAACGATGACATCTCTCGGCTCATTTGAGCCCGTGCCGCTGAGAAACACGCCAGTCCTGTCACTGATGATGGCGCCTTGATGTAAGGCAGATGAAGGGGCACGATGCCTGCTTGGGTTCCTTCTGGGCGGTCCCTAGTCACTCTCTGGGGTCTGCTGGGGGGCCTGGGTAGGGCGTCGGGAAGGCCGTCGGGTAGGCAGTCGGGGAGGCCGTCGGGAAGGCAGTTGGGTAAGGCGACGGGGGGTGTCAAGTCCTCTGGCAGTGCATTTGGATGTTCACGCATCGCTGCAGCGATTGAAGAATCAGCTCTTGGAGCCTCACTGTGCTGCTCATGACTTCCTGGGGAAGCCTGGGGGCCTCCTGAGACCATCGTGGGGCTCTTTTCGAAGTTCTGCGCAGCTACAGAAGTCTCTTAGGGAAACTCCGAGGGAGGAGCGGAAGGGGGAGGAGGAGGAGGAGGAGGAAGAGGAGGAGGAGGAGGAGGAGGAGGAGGACGAGGAGGAGTAGGAGGAGCGGAGCTCGATCCAGCGATCAAAGACTGGCGGTCGCGCGCGCGAGCAAGCCGCAGCAGGCCGGCCAGTACTGGATGCAGCTCCTAAGACGGACATGCACATGCAGCCTGCCGCGGACAATCACCGCCTGCAAACCATCAATTCAGACCTCGAGGAAACTCGTGCACGCCCTGGTCGGCGAGGCCACCCTGGTGGCAAGGCAGCGATCAAGAAGTGGCGGTCGCGCGCGCGCAAACCACAGCAGGCTGGCAGGCTGAGACGGACATGCAGCCTGCCGCGGACAATCACCGCCTGCACGCCATCAATTCGGACCTCGAGGAAACTCCGGCACGCCCTGGTCGACAATGCCGCCTCATTGTGCTGCTCAGGACTTCGTGGGGCAGCCTTGGGGCCTCCCGAGGCCATCGTGGGGCTCTTTTCGAAGTTCTGCACAGCTCCGAGAGTCTCCTGGGGAAGCTCCGAGGGGGGAGCGGGAGGGGGAGGAGGAGAAGGAGAAGCGGAGCTCGATCCAGCGATCAAAGACTGGCGGTGGCGCGCGTGCGCGCAAGCCGCAGCAGGCCGGCCAGTATTGGATGCAGCTCCTAAGACGGACATGCAGCCTGCCGCGGACAATCACCGCCTGCAAGCCATCAATTCAGACCTCGAGGAAACTCGTGCGCGCCCTGGTCGGCAAGGCCGCCTCCGTGTGGTCGTCCTCTCCGAGGAGGCCTCCCACGAGGACGCCAGCCGCCTTCAGGTTGCGGGCGAATAAGTTCAGGTATGCCGTTCCCTGACTGGTGCGGACATGGACCACCTTCACTGGCCATCGCTCGGACGTCCATTCCCTGTGTTTTCTTGGTTTCGTGCGTGGTTTTTTCGCCAAACGATCAAGGATGTTCCTAGATGGTCCTCGCCGAAGGAAGAATGCACACGTCCGAGCGATGCCAAGTTCAGCATGATCTTCCCGAAGGGCATCCGCTGCGTGCCCGTGTGGGGCTCCCCCGCGCCGGCGTTGAGCGCAAGTCCGCTGCCAGGTCCGTACATGTGGACCTCGGCCTCGACCGACTCCCCCGCAATGCTGATTGTCACGGAGTGCGTCTCCGCGCAAGCGCCACCCACCTGCTGGGCGTCGGCATCCACGCGCAGCCGCGCCTGCGACGCGGGCGCCAGCATGGGCACGTGGAGCAGGACGTGGGCGCCAAGGCTGCAGCACGTCGAAGTGCTGCCCCCCTGCACGTGGACCAGGTGTGGGTCGCCCGACGAGCCCACCCGCATTCCTGTCGGTGCGGGCGCTGGGGCACCTGGAGGTGTCGGTGCCGCAGTCGGTGCAGCTGTGGGCGCATTTGTTGGTGCAGCCGTCGGGGCTGCCGTCGGTGACGCTGTTGGTGAAGCTGTCAGTGCAGCCGTTGGTGCAGCTATCAGTGCCGCTGTCGGTGCAGCCGTCGGGGCTGCCGTCGGTGACGCGGTCGGTGAAGCTGTCGGTGCCGCAGTCGGTGGAACTGTGGGCGCACTCGCTGGTGCAGCCGTCGGGGCAGCAGTCGGTGACGCGGTCGGTGAAGCTGTCGGTGCCGCAGTCGGTGGAAATGTGGGCGATCCTGTCGGTGCAGCAGTCGGGACAGCAGTCGGTGACCCTGTCGGCGCGACTGTCGGAGAAGCCGTGGGCGAGGCTGTTGGATTCAATGTTGGAGATGAAGTGGGTGAACTTGTCGGCGCACCTGTCGGTGCCGCAATGGCGCATGAGACGCTGTCCTCGTCGACGAAGTAGTTGGACGTCCCGGACATGGCGAAGTTGCGGCCCCGCGTCTGGACGTAGTCGGGCGGCATGTCCGTCAGGGTCTTAAACCCGGTGGCGAACTCGCTTGTGTTAGAGGGATCAACCATGAAGCATCGCTTCGCCTGATCCACGGTGGCGGCCGACGCGTCTGGGCAAGTGACGTTGGACAGGCTGTTCAGGTCCGACGAGTTGTCGCAGCCGTGCCCGAACATCTGCGAAGTAACCTGCACCCCGAACTTGCTCCCAGAATTGGCCACGTCTTCCTGGAGGTCCTACCAAGAATCGGCGTCTGGACCGAAGTCGTGGTGTAAGCCAACGGAACCGGACTGTTGCTGGTGATGGTCTCGTAGTCGTGCAACTTCATATCGAACTCGAACTCGCCGTCGACCGTGTAGACGGCGCTAACGCCGTCCAGTAGCACAACGTGATCTTTGGTCGGACTGGCGTCTCAGGGCAACAGGTGTGATTTCGCACAAGCTCCGCCTTGAGATCGACTCGCGTTCCTTCCAACACGTTGACGGTCGCCATGGCGCCATGGATATCGTTCCAATTCGTGTTCCTCGGAACATAGTTGCTTGTATTAATGAAGGTGATGTCCAAGGGACCCCATCTGCGGTTTGTCCAACGCCATAGTATCTAAGCTCACTCGGCCAACCAAACTGCGGGCCCAGCCCGCCAAGATTCGAATGATGTGATCTCCCTGGTTGTCCCCCATCGGAGTTTGCCTCCGAGAAGGAAATCCAATCCTCACAATCATCTTGGAGGCTTATGCTTGGCAGCTCGGGGCACTCCCCTGGACACGCGCAACACATTGAAGCAGACGTGAAATCCTAATCGTCATAGTAGGGGTCGAAACAGATGCCCGAAAAGGGGCTCTCAGCATCGCGCGAATAAGATTAACACCCATTGCCAAAGCCAAATTTGTTCGTGATGCTCCCGAAGAGGTCACAATCACAGATGCTCCGGATGTGTCTCAACGACCTCCTCGCTCTCGCCTTTTCGAGACCCCTTCCGCCCAAGACGGCCCAGGCTGCCTCCAAGATGGCCCGAGAGACCACCAAGGGCCTCAAGACGGCCCAAGGAGATCCCAACACGCCTTTTCGGAACCACAGGACTCGCCATCGCTCGGACGTCCATTCCCTGTGTTTTTGGTCGGTTTCGTGCGTGGTTTTTCTACGCCAAATGATCAAGGATGCTCGTCGATGGTCCTCGCCGAAGGAAAAATACACACGTCCGAGCGATGCCAAGAAGAGGCCCCGAGATGTCCCCAAGACGCCCCCAAGATGCCTCCAAGAGTCTCCCAAGAGCCCCCCCGACAGAACAGGAGGGACGAAGGGGAAGGCAGGCGGCGAGGGCTGGAGCCCAGAGTGTCCTTCGAGGCCCTGGGAATCGGAGGCCGGACCGCAGGGATGATACTCCAGACTTCGTCATAAAAGGGAGGGGGTCTGGACCCTCCAAGACAAGCCATTTCAGACCCCCCCCCCCGTGGGAGAACCCTCCAAAACATCGTCCCCAGGCCCCCCAGGCCCTCCAAGATAGCCTGGAAGAGACCCCCCCCCGAAATGAGACCCCCCTCCCTTTATTACGAAATCTGGAGTAAAGTCGGGCTGCTGAACGAAGGAACGCTAAATCAGGAACGAAGCCCCTTCTTGGCCCTGTAAGAGCTTCCGTGCCCCAGGAGGGCAAGAGGAACAGCACTGGAGGAACCGAAGGAACATCGAGCCCCTTCCGAACCTGAACTGCTCTTTATTTCAGCGTCTTGACTGTATTCCGACATTCCCAACCCGAAGCTAAGACAGACCGCACCTGCCCAGGAGTACCCTCCTCCAGCTCGGCTTTTCGATACCGAGTTGCCAGAAGCATTGAGCTCTGGGCACTCTTCATGTGAAATTGAATTTCTGTGCACTGGTGCACCACTTGCCTCAATCGAAAACGAAACAACTGCATAAACATAAACTTCTGGCGCTCCGTGCGGATTTCTTGGATCCGCGCTGGACCCCCTCCCTGGCGCGCGGAGCGCGCCGGGGGCGGCGCCAGAAGCGCCGCCAGAGGGGGGGGCCAAACACGGAGCCAAGAAATCCGCGCGGGAATCCAAACAGTCTATGTTTATGCCGTTTTTCCTTCATCGGCTCAACAACATGGGCGATCAAGACCCACAGAGGCAAGGTCCGAAGCAGAGGTGGCAACCCCGCGAGCCCAGCCGACGCACGAAGAGCGCACGGACGCCTGGGCAACGCACACATTTACGGTAGGTTCGCGCGGCGTCGGCGCACGCAAAAGTTTTTGACACCGCGTCGATCGTTCAACCTTGAACCGATCGCGGCCCCGATCGTTCAAGGTTGAATTCAGTCGGGTCCAATGGCGTTACAATGTCCGTCGGAGATTCCGCGTCACAGAATTCAACCTTGAACGCATTTGCCGGCGTCGCTGGCGCGCCAACGCCGCATGAACCTACCGTACCTGGAAGCCACATGCGAGCCCCTTCGCGCCAACCATTTCTTCGCTTGCGGCGAGGCACGGGCAGTCCGCTCCAGCGGGTGGCGGTTCGGGACGACTGAAAGGCGAGTTGGCCGGCGTGTAAGAGGGGGGAGAAGGGGGCCAGGGCGGCCGCGCGGAAGACTGGAGGAGGAGGAGAGCCGCTCAGACGTGGAAGAGATCCGCGTCGAGTGGGTCGGTGCGGTCAGCCGTGGCAGCGGGGGCCGCGGCAGCAGCTGGGCCGCGGCGAGGGCGCACCCACGGGCGCTGCCCTTCGTGCAAACGCTCTTCAGGGAAATTCGCACTGACAAGACAAGAATCGGAGGTGAGGGGGTGAGATCGAAGTGGAACGGAGAGCCCCCCCACCGGGAAATCGATTTCGGTTTCGTGTTCGTGCGTGCCGTGCGTGCGGGCGAGGCGAAGCTGCGTGGGCGGGCGAGAGAAAGTCTCCTGTGGCTGAGGCGCGGCCGGACCAAATGTCTCCCTTCCGGGCGGCCGGTGGCCCGCGGTGTCCCGCCGGTGTCCCGCGGTGTCCCGCCGGTGTCCCGCGGTGTCCCGCGATGATGATGATGATGCTGATGATGATGATGATGATGATGATGATGATGAGATGATGATGGTGATGCTGATGATGATGGTGATGCTGATGATGATGATGGTGATGCTGATGATGATGCTGATGATGATGACGATGACGATGATGATGATGGTGATGATGATGATGAGGACGATAATGATGATGATGATGATATGATGATGGTGCCCCGATGATGATGATGATGATGATGATGATGATGATGATGATGATGTTGGTGTTGATGATGTCGATGATGATGATGATGATGACGATGATGATGATGATGCTGATGGTGTCCCGATGATGAGGATGATGCTGATCATGATGCTTATGTTGATGATCATGATGATGACGATGATGGTGTCCCGATGGTGATGAGTATGATGATGTTGATGTTGATGATGCTGATTATGATTGTGTCCCGATGATGATGATGTTGATGATGATGAGGTTGATGATTATGGCGTCCCGATGATGATGATTATTATGATTGTGATGATGATGATGTTGTTGACGATGATGGCGTCCCGATGGTGATGATGATGATGTTGATGCTGATGTTGGTAATGATGATGATGATGATGGTGCCCCGGTGATGACGATGATGATGATGCTGATGATGATGTTGATGATGCTGATGATGATGTCGATGATCAGGATGAGATGATGATGATGATGATGGTGTCCCGATGAAGATGATGATGATGATGATGATGATGATGATGATGATGATAACGATGGTGATCATGATGGTGTCCCGATAATGATGCTGCTGATGATGATGATGATGATGACGATGACTGTGTCCCGATGCTGCTGATGATGATGTTGATGATGATGATTGTGATGATGGTGATGATGATGATGATGATGATGATGGTGGTGTCCCGATGATGTTGATGACCGTGATGAGGATGATGATGATGGTGTTGATGATGAGGACGGTGTCCCGATTATGCTGATGTTGGTGATGATGATGCTGATGTTGATATTGTTGTTGATGAAAATGACGACGTTGATTGTGAGAGCGGTTGTGATATCGATAGTGAGATCGATAGTGAGACCGACTGTGATATCGATTGTGAAGTCGATTGTGAGATCGATTGTGAGATCGATAGTCAGATCAATTGTGAGATAGATCGAGTGAGATCGATTGTGAGATCGATCGAGGGAGATCGATCGAGCGAGACCGATACTGAGATCGATAGTGAGACCGATCGAGTGAGACGTTGGTTCCTCCCCCCCCCCCACCTCCTTATCACCCGAAGGGTGGTCGTATAGGTAAAAAATAACGCATGTTCACTGTGCCAACTCTGGCGGTTCTGGCCCCGAACCCACACTCCCCGACGTCACGTTTTCGTTCACCAAACGGACTCCAGAGCTCTTGACCCCTTCCCCAGGGCCGGGTTTTCATCCTGAACAGTTTTTGTTACAGTTACGGGGCCCGGTGAGGGCCCCCAGATGCCGTAAATAGCGAAAACCTTTCCGCCATATTTTTGTTCATGATCCGAGGGAACCTAGGAACTCTGCTTCAAGGCGGTGAGGCAAGCGGCGACGGAGGACTACGCTCGAGTGGAACCGGACAGGAAGGCAGCGCGCACGCTTGCCTCTAGCCATTCTCTGCTCCGACCCCGCATGCTGATCCAACGGGAGGAGAAGGAGAGAAGGGAAGACCACCACCATGGCAACAGCAAGCAACACGGACCGACCGCGAACCAAAGGCCGAGAGCACGCCAAAACACGACTTCAGCCTCCACTACGACCTCCAATTCGACTTCCCCTGGCGTTGCCAAGCTAAGCTAGGCCTGGCATTCCTGCTACGGAAACTTCCGCTCCGGGATACCAGGGCGAATGTCCCTGCTGCCAAAACTGGTTGACCCTTTGCGTGGCCCGTGCTCATGCTTCTGGAAGTGCCGTTCAGATGCCGGCTGCGTGCCGCAGTTGCCGAAGCTGTTGTCAGCGGTCTGGCAAGTTCGTGCTTAGTGCCCGACGAAATCTTTGCACTCTCGCACCTACCCTGGAAGAAGGTGAACGACGCGTACATCGTACATCGCCCTTTTCTGCGCACCGCCGCAAGCGCGCTGGCTCCCCCAGGAACCATGGCTCAACGCCTGCTCAAGCAGCCTGCCCATGCTCGGACAGCGAGTTGTGCAAAATCGCCAGTTTGTGCCATTGACCTGCGCACAAAGTAGCTTCGAATTTTGGTCATTCCACGCTTTGCCATAGCATCATGTTGCTGTGCTCAGCCAGGCAATGCAAAGCTCGCCAGCCAAGGAGATGCATTAACTCGTCCTGGTGCCCAGCTAAGCTCCGAAAAATGGACGCAACTATGATGCAATTTGCAGGACGGGGAACGTAACCTGCTGCAGCCAAGATGTCTGGCAGTGCCATGAGGCATCCTCGCTGTACACCTACGTCGGGCGCGAACATTCTTGACACATTGCAGATCTCTTCGATCGCACCAAGATTAATGAACTCTACCGCGTTCCCAGCGTGCTCAGAACATACGGTGGAAATCACGCAGAGCAACAAGTACGCTACAACCGGCCGTATGTTCCCATTTGCGGAGCTGCCTGCCTCACCGCGCGTTGAGCACAACTGGCGCGCTGTGCGAATGAGTGCCTCTAGCCACCCGAGGCGACCTGCAGACTGCTTCGCGCATTGGCCTTCTTCGCCGACGAGCATCGTGTGCATCCTGCCCATCTCAGCGAGAAGTGGGAGGAGGAAGGAGATAAAGAGAGAGCGAGAGAGACAAAAAAAAGCAACACAACACCAATAACTCTACACATGGGGCATATAGCAATCGGTGGCATTGCAGTCCAAACACATCTCGCACTACTTTAGAAGAAGGAGCTCGACGCATTCGTACGCGTAGTATGTGCGAATCTGAGGCAATATCTGGCAACAAAAACATGGGGCAATATGGTATAGACTATTCCGGTAAAGCTGAGTGAATGAATCAAGACTTCGCGCTCGAACGCTCCCTGTGGTTTTCAGGTATTCGGGTGCATGCAGCCTATCTAATCCGCGGACGCATGATACGATGATGCAGCAACGTGCAACTCATTGGCAGGTGTCCCAAATGCTGAAAATCACTCGGTGCAATGCTACGACATTGCAACAGCATGCAATGAACTTGTGCGACTGCTTCCTCCTGCATTGGGATGTGCGATTCTGCATTCTCGTAACTACACCCGCCTGAAACCCTCCCTCCAAAATCTGGACGCTCTGAGCCCAAACGAATTCTTGCCTCTGGGGAATACACACCCGTGTTGGAGGGCATACAGTGTGACCCCTCTCTGAAGGGGCCCCAGGACACACCAATAAATACACACAACTAAAAGGATGTCCCATATTTTCTCACATTTGTTAGGTTTCTGTCTTCCCCCCCACTTCCTATATTTTTCCATATGTTCTGTGGAATCGACGATTAATTGTGTCTGTGTGTTTCTGCTCCCTCCTGAGAGGACCAAGCTCCGTCCTCGAGGGCGAAGCGCGCACTGGAACGCCGCGCCGTGCCGCCGCGGAACCGAGCACTGCACAGCCGCGTCGTGACGGCGTCGGCCCGACGCTCCCCGACGGCTTGAGAGCCCCCCGAAGATCGCCCAGAGACGGCCCACGAGGCCTCCAAGGCAGGAGAGCCCGCCGCCGCGTCGAAGCCCTTCCACCCGCCGATGCGATTCTTTCAGTCCGCGGCCCCTGCAAAGATCCCGACCGCTTCCCCCAGGGTACTCCAGATTTCGTAATACAAGGGAGGGGGTCTGGACCCTCCAAGACAAGCCATTTCAGACCTCCCCCGTGGGAGAACCCTCCAAAACATCGTCCCCAGACCCCCCCAGGCCCTCCAAGATAGCCTGGAAGAGACCCCCCCCAAATGAGACCCCCCTCCCTTTATTATGAAATCTGGGGCAGTTTTTCGCCAGAGATTCATTCTTTGATGGCCCCGGGGCCCCGTAATCGGACCCAGAAGGCGGCCCCTGGAAAAGTCCCGACCGCTTCCCCTGGGGTAGGTTTTCGCCCCGGATTCCTTGTTAGATGGTCCCGGGACCCAGTAATCGGACCCAGAAGGCGGCCCCTGGAAAATTCCCGACCGCTTCCCCTGGGGCAGTTTTTCGCCCCGGATTCATTGTTTGATGGCCTCGGGGCCTCGTAAGCGGACCCAGAAGCAGAAGGCGGCCCCTGCAAAGTTCCCGACCGCTTCCCCAGGGTGTTTGTTCGCCCCGGATCTATTATTTTTTGGCCCCGGGGCCCATCAGCGGACCCAGAAGCCGAGATCTAGGAGAAGCCGCAGGCCGACAAAAATTACATCTCGGGAGATCTGGGAACACGGACGGGCCGTAACACCGCACGCGCTGCCCGCCAGCGCGCCACGCGTCAACACGACACGAACCGACCGCAACACTGCGTGCGCTGCCCGCCAAGTGGAGCAAACGGATACCCATACCGCTACAGTCGACCCGAGTAATAAGGATGCACGATAAGGATGCAAGGGCCTTGGGAGGCCGTTTCGAGGCTCTTTTAGCGGGGTGCAGCCAACGAAAGTGGCCAAGGATGGGCCGAGGAGGCAAGGATGCGAGGGCACCCTTGGAACAATTGCCCATCCTTCCTATGCGGGGTGACCGTACAGTCGGGCTGCTGAAAGAAGGAACGCTAAATCAGGAACGAAACCCCTTCCGAAGCAAAACTGTTCCTTCTTTCAGAGTCTTGACTGTGCTCCCCAGGTAAGAGGCCTCCTAGATGGGGTCGGAGTAGATGGGGCCGGAGGATGGCGCCGCATCGCCGATACATCGCCGATGCATCGGCGATGCATCGGCGATGCACTGGCGATGCATGGTCGACGTCGGCGATCAATCCGAGACCTCGGCGTGGAGAAAATCGGACCCCTCATCGAGCCGCATCGCCGATACATCGGCGATGCGGCGCGGTCCTCCGACCCCATCTACTCCGACCCCATCTAGGAGGCCTAGACCAGACCTCTACCAGGGTGCGTTCTGACCAGGACCCCGAAGCGAATCCAGCCGTGGCGACCAGGGCCTCCCAGGAGGCCACGGAGAGAACGATCGGGGATCTACCGACCCGGGCCAATCCACACCCGGGTCAGTTACTCCAGATTTCGTAATAAAAGGGAGGGGGTCTGGACCCTCCAGGACAAGCCATTTCAGACCCCCCCCCCCCTGGGAGAACCCTCCAAAACATCGTCCCCAGACCCCCCCTGGCCCTCCAAGATAGCCTGGAAGAGACCCCCCCCCCCCCGAAATGAGGCCCCCTCCCTTTTATTACGAAATCTGGAGTACAGTCGGACTTCCTTGGGCAGGCCACGCGAGAGGACGCAAGACCCTTCCGAGGGCCACATTGCCATGGGGGATGCAGGAATCATGGGTGCCGAGGCACAGGACACAAGGCTACCCTTGACTTGGCAGGGTCGACCTGCTCGCCCGGGCCGCCTGTAGGCCTCGCATGACCACCTACCAAACCACCCCAACTCAACCCGAAGACCCGAATTTGACCCGAATTTCGGGTTGGGGGGGGGGTACGGGTTCCACGTGTTTTTTCGATGTTCCCCGACCCCCCCCCACTGGAAATGGAGGGCAAATCGTGGCCTTCGGGTTGGGTTGGGGTGGTTTGGTGGGCGGTGATTGCACGATCCTGCAAGATCCTGCCCGATCCTACAGGATCCTGCGCACAAGCCCCGGGGTCCGTGCGACCCTGCCCCTGCAGGACCCTGCGAGAGCCGGCGCTCTGACGGACCCCCGTCGGCAGCTTGACCCACGTCTCCCGTGCGCCCCGAGCAAGAGTGAAGGGGCCCCAGGACACACAAATAAATACACACACAAATAAAAATATTCCCCATATTTTCCAATATTTTCTGGGTTTTTGTCTTCCCCCCCACTTCCCATATGTTCCCATATGTTCCTGGGAGTCGACGATTAATTGTGTCTGAGTGTTTCTTTCCCTCCTGAAAGAGAGGGAGCGGCCCTTTTGGGGAGGCGAAGAGTCGCCTGCCCCGGCGGTGCGCCGAGCTTTTGAGGCCTCGGGCGCAGCTTTTCCTGGACCAGGGCGGCGAAGCAGCGTTGTGTGCTGCCCTCTGCCGGGAGAAGGAGAGGCGACACCCACACCACCAGGACGAGGAGATGCGGCGAGGAGAAGGGGGGGGTCTCCCTGGTGGTTTCCCTCTCGCTCGAGACGTCCCCGGCCTCCAGCTCGGGGAGGCCTCGTGGACCTCCTCGCTGGAGGTGGCCCCCCCGGTGGTGTTGTTTCTTCTCCCTCCTCCCTCCGACCTCTGGTGCTCCTCCTGGCGATGACGCGGAAGCAGAAGATCCAGTTGATCAGACAGAAGTGTGATCAGACACGTGATTGCCTCGCCATGCAGCTCATGACTGCCGCACCTCTGGTTGACCCAAAATGGGCTGGATCCCAAAAGGGGTGGTGCAAATGTATTGCGCCTGAGACTGGTATCGCACTGTAGTGCAGGATCCATACTTAAACCAAAAGTCCCGCTCGGGCGACACACAAAAAACATCTGGCGCTCCGAAGTTGCCAGCGATCCTCGCACCTCTCGGGCCGAAGAACAACGAGAACTTCTTCTAAGCAACAGGCGGCTCAACACAGGCGGCAGCGGCGGCTCGGCCCTCGGACCCGCCCCCTGCGGGCCCGCCCCCTGCTAGCCCCTGCTGCCCCCTGCGGGCCCGCCCCCTGCAGGCCCTCGGGCCGCTGAGGCAGTGGCGGCGCCGGCATTGGCGTCGGTCGAAGACCCGGATTGACTCAGTGAGCTTACTCTGGATGGGATAAGAATCTCCCCCCCCGAATCCGCTGGGGGGGTTGGGCACGTACTGTCGGAACGTGTGGAGGGGTGTTGGAAGAGGAGGAGGAGGAGGAGGAGGAGGAGGAGGAGGAGGAGGAGGAGGAGGAGGAGGAGGAGGGGGAGGAGGAGGGGGGTCAATCCTTGCTATGTCTCGACCTTGCAAGTTTCCGCAGAGGCAGCGGCGCCGGCGTCGGCGGCGGCGTCGGCATCGGCATCGGCGCCCGACGTCGTGAACTTCGCGGTCCCTGCGCAGCTCTTCCTCCCGCTTCGGCCTCTGGGGGCCGCGTCCAGCCCCGGGGCCGTGGTCGGCCGTTCTCGCGGGACGTGTCCTCGGACGTCGAGGGCCCTCTTCTGCCCCCCCCTCTGCTAATGAAAACCGTGCGCGGCCCGCTTCGCTTCTATCGGAAGAGGCTCGCTCTCGACCCGCAGGTCAAACAAGCTCCCGGACGTTCTGAAGGGGGCGCTCTCGCCTCGGCGCCCTCCTCCCCGCCCCTATCGAGAGGAAGTCAGGGGGGAGGGGGAGGCGAAGAAGGATCAATTCCCCACGCAGGGGGCGCTATTCCCCCCCGCTGGGAGAGGACAAGGGGGGGGGGGGGGCGCTTTATAGTTCCGGATCCTACATTGCTGCAACGATTGCGCTCCATCGCAAAAAAATGCCCTGCGACGTACCCAACCCACGTGCATCAAGTGGCAAGAGGAGTAGGCCAACATTAGCAGGAACAACGACAGTGTAGACGCGGCGATTTGCTGCGCAAGCTACATGGGATGCGCATGCGTTGCACGATTCACAGGACGACGATCGAAAGAACGAGGATTGAGGCCCCAGGATCGAAGAAGAACGGGTACGGGAACGAGGGGTAGGAGAGGGATGGAATGGAGGGCGGGGGGGGCGAAAGGCCATCGCGGAAGCATCGCCATGCATGGAGAAGGTGAGGCGGGGAATAGGACGACGATGAAAGTGGCGGGAGGAGACGGAAGACTGCCGCGTTTTTCAAGTGCGAGCTAAACCCGCAGCGCTGCCTGCGCCATGTCGTCGCAGAGTTCCACATGATAAAACTTGTTTAGAGTCCAAGGAACGAGCGAGGCGTAGCTCGCCCGCTAGCTTCTCCGCCTCCTTCCCGCGTATTTCAGCGCGGGAGCTGAACGCTCGCAGGCGCGCCACCAGGTCTGCGGGCGGCCCGCGGGAAAGAAACTCAAGGCCGGGGTCGCGTATCATCAATCGGTTGTCCATCGTCCAAAGTTGCACTGGCGACGTACTGGTTGAACGCGGAGCGAGCAGCATCACGCGCGTGCCTGAACGCCACGCAGGTACAGTGCACGCGCGATTGGGACTTCAGGTCGATCACGCGCGTCTCCACCAGGCTTGGCAACACCACGCGACTGAGGATCTCACTGCGGTCTGCCATGCTGCTGTCCGCGAATGCAATGCGCTGCCTGCAAGTAAGGCGGCGGCGTCCACTTGTCTCAGAAGATGTTCCCGCGGGCCCGAAGGGCGACCGCCAGCTCGAGCCGCGGCGCCGGCAGGCCAGATAAGGATCATGCAACAGCAAAGACGATGACAGAGCAACGAGGTATCGGCGAGTGCATGACCGGCCTCCGTTTCCTGCACTTCTTTCCTGTAGTTCCCCTAGCTCATCGAGCTCAGCAGATGTTTCTGCGGGTCCGAAGGACGACCGCCAGCTCGAGTCGCAGCGCCGACGAGCTGCATCCACATCAGGCAACACCCCAGGAGACACTGGCACACAACGATTTGACGTCAGTCAGTGCCAGACCACTCCATGTCTAGTTCCTCGCACACATACAGTCGATCGCAGATGCGGGATAATCGAAGTAGAATGACGGGTCCAATCTGCGTCCGCGTAGGACGTCACTATGCTGGACCCCGCAGCAGGTCTCGAAAGTGGCGACAGTTTCGTGGGCCCCACAGCAGCCCTCGAAAGTGGCGACAGTTTCACAGATCGTAGCCCCCCAGCGCTGGCGAGGTCTAATCTGAGTCCCCGTAGGACGTCACTCCGCTGGCCCCCCAAGCAGCCTTCGAAAGTGGCGACAGTTTCACAGATCGCAGCCCCCCAGGGATGGCGAGGTCTAATCTGTATCCCCGTAGGGCGTCACTCCGCTGGGCCCCCCACGCAGCCTTCGAAAGTGGCGACAGTTTCACAGATCGCAGCCCCCCAGGGATGGCGAGGTCTAATCTGAATCCCCGTAGGGCGTCACTCCGCTGGGCCCCCCAGCAGCCCTCGAAAGTGGCGACAGTTTCACAGATCGCAGCCCCCCAGGGATGGCGAGGTCTAATCTGAATCCCCGTAGGGCGTCACTCCGCTGGGCCCCCCAGCAGCCCTCGAAAGTGGCGACAGTTTCACAGATCGCAGCCCCCCAGGGATGGCGAGGTCTAATCTGAGTCCCGTAGGTCACTGTGCTGGGCCCCCCAGCAGCCCTCGAAAGTGGCGAAAGTTTCACAGATCGCAGCCCAGGGATGGCGAGGTCTAATCTGAGTCCCCGTAGGGCGTCACGGGGCTGGTCTAATCTGAGTCCAGCCGTAGGGCGTCACTCCGCTGGCCACTCCAGCAGGCCTGGAAAGTGGCGATAGTTTCGCAGATCGCATCCCCACCAGGGATGGCGAGGTCTAATCTGAGTCCCCGTAGGGCGTCACTCCGCTGGCCCCCCCAGCAGCCCTCGAAAGTGGCGACAGTTTCGCAGATCGCAGCCCCCCAGAGATGGCGAGGTCTAATCTAAGTCCCCGTGGGGCGTCACTCCGCTAGCCACTCCAGCAGCCTCTGAAAGTGGCGACAGTTTCACATATCGCAGCCCCCCAGGGATGGCGAGGTCTAATCTGAGTCCCCGTAGGGCGTCACTCCGCTGGCCACCCCAGCAGCCCTCGAAAGTGGAGACAGTTTCACAGATCGCAGCCCCCCAGGGATGGCGAGGTCTAATCTGAGTCCCCGTAGGGCGTCAGTCCGCTGGCCACCCCAGCAGCCCTCGAAAGCGGCGACAGTTTCGCAGATCGCAGCCCCCCAGGGATGGCGAGGTCTAATCTGAGTCCCCGTAGGGCGTCACTCCGCTGGCCACCCCAGCAGTCCTCGAAAGTGGCAACAGTTTCACAGACCGCAGCCCCCCAGGGATGGCGAGGTCTAATCTGAGTCCCCGTGGGGCGTCACTCCGCTGGCCACCCCAGCAGCCCTCGAAAGTGATGACAGTCTCGCAGATCGCCGCCCCCCAGGGATGGCGAGGGGCAAGCTAGGTAAAAGGCAAGCGAGAAGAGGACGAGCGAAGAGAGGAGGAGAAGGGAGGGGGCGGGAAGGAAGGAAGGAAGGTGGAGACCGCAGTGCTCTATTCAAAACGAGTACCCAACACAGGAGGGTTGGGAAAAAACAATACATTTGCGCCCCGGAATGCATTGCACGCCCCAATGTCTTGCAACTCCAAAGATATGTTGCACCAAATCTATTGCACCACCCCCTTGTCGCTGGACCCATTTAGAGGCTTCCTAGATGGGGTCAGAGTAGATGGGGTCGCAAAATCGCGCCGCATCGACGATACATCGGCGACGGCGATGCACTAGCGAAGCACCAGCGATGCACCTTCGACGTCGGCGATGCAACGGCGACGTCGCGACGTGACGCAAAGCGGACTGCACATCGAGCCGCATCGGCGATGCATCGGCGATGTGACACGGTCCTCCGACCTGTACGGTTTTCCCTGGGGCCGTAGGGGACCCGAGGAGGAGGAGGAGGAGGAGGAGGAGAAATACGAGGAGGAAGAGGAACAGGAGGAGGAGGAGGAGGAGGAGGAGGAGGAGGAGGAGGAGGAGAGAGGAGGAGGAGGAGGAGGAGGGAGAGAGGAGGAGGAGGGAGATGATGATGATGATGATGAGGATGATAAGATGATGATGATGATGATGATGATGATGATGATGATGATGATGATGATGATGAGGAGGAGGAGGAGGAGGAGGAGGAATAGGAGGAGGAGGAATAGTAGGAAGAGGAGAAATGGGATGATGCTGATGATGATGATGAGGAGGAGGAGGAGGAAGAGGAGGAGGAGGAGAAGGAGGATGAAGATGAGGAGGAGGAGGAGGACGAGGAGGAATCTGAGACGGAAGAGGACTAGGAAGAGGAGGATGAGGATGAGGAGGATGATGATGATGAGGAGGATGAGGTGGAGGAATAGGAGGAGGATAGATGATGCTGATGATGCTGATGCTGCTGCTGCTGATGATGCTGCTGCTGCTGATGATGATGATGCTGATGATGATGATGATGATGATGATGATGATGATGATGATGATGAGGATGATGATGAAAGGAGAGGAATGGGAAGGAGAAGAGTGAGGAATGAGGAAAGGATGAGGAGGAGGGTGAGGAGAAGGAGAGAGGAGGAGAAGGAGGAGCGGAGGGAGGATGAGGGAGAGGAGGAGGAGGAGAGGAGGAGAAGGGGAATAGGGCGGAGAGGAAGGAGGAGGAGGAAGTAGGAGAGGAGGAGAAAGGACAGGAGAGGAGGCGAAGGAGGAGGAAGGAGAGGAAATAAGAGGAGGATTATGATGATGATGATGAGAGGAGGATGATGAGGATGAGGAGAATAGGAGGAGGAGGAGGAATAGAGGAGGATGGAGAAGGAGGAGGAGGAAGTTAGGAGAGAGGAGGAAGGAGAACGAGGATGAGATGAGGATATGATAGGAGGAAGAGGATAGGAAGAAGGAGGAATAAGAGGAGGAGGAGGAGGAGGAAGAAGGAGAGGAGGAGGAGGAGGAAGGAGGAGGAGGAATGGAGGACGAAATGAGATGAGGATGATGATGAGAGGATGAGGAATAGGAAGAGGAGGAATAAGAGAGGAGGGAGGAGGAAGAAGGAGAGGAGGAGGAAAGAGGCGGAGAAGGATTGAGGAGAAGGAGAGGAGGAGAGGAATAAAGAGGAAAGAGGAATAGATGGGGATGAAGAGGAGAGAGGAGGAGGAGGAGGAGGAGGAGGAGGATGGACCACTTGCGTCAACCAAATTTCCCTCCTCTGACCGCCGGCACGCCACGCGCCGCACGCCAGCGGCCCACGGCCCAGTCGCCCAGAGGCCCGCGCCCTGGGCGTGTCCTCGCTCTGGCGGAGGCCTTCCTCTCGCCCCCTGCTCGGCCTCCTCCTCCTCCTCCTCCTCCTCCTCCTCCTCCTCCTCCTATCTCCTCCTATCCCTTCCCCCCCTCCCCCTCCTCCCCATCCTCATCCTCTTCATCCCCCTTCCTCCTCCTCCACTTCCTCCTCCTATTCCTCCTCGTCTATCTGCCTCTTCTCCTCGTGCTCCTCCTCCCCGCCAGGCCTGCGGAGCGACTGGGCCACCGGCAGCCACGCGCCTCTCCGGGCGGGGGGACGCGGACGGGAGGCAAGGGGGGCAAGGAGAGGAGAGGGGGGGGGGTAGGCGGGTACTTGTGATGGGGTGCTCAACAAAAGGGGGGGGGTGATGCACCTTCCGACTGAGCTTGCCCAATCCCGGCCCCCCTCCGTCCTCCTCCCGCTGCCCATCCTCCTCCTCCTTCGCTTTTGCTGCGAAGCGACATCAAAACGAAAACGGTCCATGACATTGCCAGGACACCGTTTAGCTCGAGCCCTGGTCCGGGGGAAGGCGGAGGGGCAACTGGAGGGCGAGGGCGACAGGGTCATGCTCAGGGCCAGGTGGTGGGCACGGGGGCAGCGAGGCCGATCGCGACGAGGAGGGGGAAGGGGCGACAGTGCAGGCTGCCAGCGTGCAGTCGCCTGGATATGGGGGAGCTCGGCCTCTGCCCGGCGGTGGCGCCACTGCCGATTAGGCAGATCGCCGCGCCGGCGCTGGGATGGCCGAGCTGGCGGCAGGAGGGGCGCGCCCGGGAGCGGCGGAGAGCGGGAGAGGCTTTCTCCCGGGCGCAGGCCAGCACGGGTGGGGGCTCTCCGTGGACCTGGCGGCCCCCTGGCGCGCCGGCGCCAGGTCCACGCCGTCGGGGGGAAGGGGTCCCCCGACACCTGAGGCCAGCGCCGCCCGATCTGGCCACGCGGCGCGCCGGTTCTCCAGGGGAGCGGGACCCGCCGCGAACCCACGCGCCCTGATCGAAGTCTGCGCTCTCCCGAGCCTCTTGCCATCGCTCGGGCGCCCATTCCCCGTGCATGGTTCGGTCTCGCGCGCGTCTTTTTCTGACCAGATGGTCCAGAATGCTCCCCGATGGTCGTCGCAGAGAAAATGCACACGTCCGAGCGATGCCAAGTCCTCGGCCACACGCAGAAGTGCAGGATAGCCCAGACTCGAAGCGATACGTCAGATCGGCGATCGAAATGAATCGGATCGGCAGGAATCGGCAGCCGAGTCGGGAGAAGTCGAATCGGCGAAATCGGCAGGCCAATACGCCTCCAGTAAATCATCGGAGCCCGAATCGGAATCCGAAGTCGAATCGAATCGGAATCGGAAACCATCGAAATCGAATCGAATCGAATCGGAGGAATCGAAATGAGCCCTGTGATCCTCGCCGAGAAGAAGTGCACGTCCGAACGATGCCACGTCATCCGCGCTCTCCGAACGCCGCGCTCGAGAGGTCACTCCTCTAGAGCGGCGGCGCGCCTGGGGGGGAGGAGGAGGAGGAGGAGGAGGAGGAGGAGGAGCAGGAGGAGGAGGAGGAGGAGGAGGAGGAGGAGGAGGAGGAGGAGGAGCACAGTGACGCCACGCGCGGACCCAAATTAGACCTCGCCATCCCTGGGGGGCTGCGATCTGTGAAACTGTCGCCACGTTCGAGGCCTGCTGGGGAGCCACTACCACCTGCTATGGGGGTGACTGTCCCACCCTCTCGAGCAGGTGGCACCTCGTTCCGGCATGCCTCCAGAGAGTGCCCAGAAGGAGGCGCCACCAGCTCGAGGGGAGGGAGCGGCCACCCCCCTGGCTGGTGGTAGTGGTACTTTTGTCTCTCCCGACTAACACACGCTCTGAGGATCATTGATCAAACCTCGAATCCGAGACCTCTCACTTACCCTGAAGTCGGGCTTGTCCCTCTACAGGGGGAATATTCGAAAATAGTTCAACAATGCTACTATGGGGACTATTTTTGGAGTATGTTTTGACCATTTTGGAATATTTTCTGAGTATGTTTTATTTTTCGCCGAAAATCCCCATGTAGGGGGACAGGCCCGACCCCTCACTTACCTCCCCCCCACGGCGCGCCGCCGCTCCAGAGGAGTGACCTCCGGAGCGCGGCTTTCGGGGAGCGCGGACCCTCTCCTCGTCCTCCTCTCCTCCCTCCTCCCTCCTCCTCCTCTTCCTCCTCCTCCTCCTCCTCCCTCCTCCTCCTTCTCCTCCTTCTCTTCCCTCCTGCCTCCTCCCTCCTCCCTCCTCCTCCTTCTCTCCTTCTTCTCTCCCTCTGCCCCCCCTCCTCCTCCTCCCTCCTCCATATCCCTTCAATTCCCTCCTCCCTCCTCCCTCCTCCCTCCTCATTTCCTCCCTCCCCCTCTTCCTCCTCCTCCCCTCATACTCCTCTCTACTCCTCCTCCTCCTCACCCTCACCCACTCCCTCCTTCTCATCCTCCTCATCCTCTCCTCCTCCCTCTCCTTCCTCCTACTCCTAGCGGTGGGTGATGGTGTTGGGTGGTGGTGGGATGTTGTTTGAGAGGAAATAGAGGATATGATGAGTCTTGAGGCTGATGATGTGATGATGATAAGTGTCAGTGGTGGTGGTGATGATCGCTATGATGATGATGATGATGATGATGATGATGATGATGATGATGATGATGATGATGATGATGATGATGATGATGATGATGATGATGATGATGGTGATGCTGATGATGGTGATGCTGATGATGATGATGATGAACATGATGATGATGAACATGCTGGTGATTATGATGATGATGATGATGATGATGATGATGATGATGATGATGATGATGATGATGATGATGATGAAACTGCTGAGGATGCTGATGCTGGTGATTATGACGATGAGGCGAAGGCGGAGGAGGAGAGGAGGAGGAGGAAAGAGAGGAGGAGGAGGAAGATGAACACCATGAGGAAACTACTGATGATGGGGTGGGTGGGTGAAGGTAGCACGAAGAACGGGAGGACGGCCAAAGCCTCGATCTTCGTGGCTCCATCCTTCTCTCCCTCTCCTCCTCCGTCTTCCCCCTCATCTTTTCTCCACCACACCCCCTTCCTCCTCCTCCTTCCTCTCTTTTCCCCTCTGTTGCTGTTGCTGATAGCATCCTCCTCCTCTCCTCCTGTTCTTACCCTCCTCTTTCTCCTCCTCCTCCTCCTCCTCCTCCTCTTCCTGCACAAATAAATATGAATACTATTATCCGCTCTCCCCTTACCCAGTCCGGAAGATGTCCCGCCCTCTCCGCGTTCTGCTTTTCACACAGGATTGAACCACAGAGTTGTTTCTTATGCTTTATTTTGCAGTCAGTTCATTTTCGATATTCAAAAGTGGTGTTCCCGCTGCAGCGCGGACCTCATTTTCAGATCGGCGTTTGTTCCCGCCGTTCAGAATGGCGTTCTCGCCCCCGCGCGGGCCACTTCTGGATCACTCGGGCTCCTGCTGCTGCTGCTGCTGTTCGTCCTCGTCCTGTTTTTTTCGCATCCTCCTTGTCTTCCTGCTCATCCTCATGCTCCTCCGACACCTCCTGATCCAATGCTCCCTTCTCCTGATTGCGCATGACACGATGAGGATTCATTTGGATTTCCAGGTCCGCGATGACACGAGTCGGCGGATAGAGAAAAACCATAACAATGGGAAGGGATGGGCAAGCTCTGAGTGTGTGTGTGTGGGGGGGGGGGGGGGGAGGAATTCAGATACGGCGCGAGCGCACCTAGCTTGTTTCCCTCCCCTCTCTCTCCTCTTCCCCCTCCTCCTCCTTCTTCTGTCCCTCCTCCCCTCCCTCATCCCTCCTGACTCCACCTTCTCCTCCCCCCTCCCTCCCTCCCTCCCTTCCTGCCCCCCTTCTTCCCCCGTCTTCTGACATCCAACGCTGCAATTGTGTCGATGCGCGTCTGAACCACTCCCGTGGGGCTGGCTTTGCATCCCGAGTAGCCTTTTGACGGTCCCCGGGCCCAGCGAGGGCCCGCAGAAACCGAACACGACCAAAAAACCGGCCGCTCCCTTTCCCAAAAACCGGCCAGTCCATTTGTTCCTGAGCCTTGGATCTCTGCCCCCCCCCTCCCCCTCTCTCCCTCCCCTTTTTCTCCCCTCCCCCTCCCCCCCATCCTTCCTCTCTCCTCTCCCACTTCTCCCCCATCCCCCCTCCCTTGCCTTCTTCCCCTCCCTCCCTCTGCCTCCCTCCCTCTGCCGTCCAATGGCTGGCGCTGCTGCTAACTCGCTTCACCTTGAATCGTCCTCGGTCGTTTCGGCATTGGAACTTCTCGTCACTGCCGTGATGCTTCGGCTGGGCTTCTAGTGCCCTGGGATTCCATACCGCTCTGTGCCCGATTGCCCTTGCTATCCTGCCGCTCCGGCGTCCCGTAATCCCGCCTCAGCGCGTCGCCTCCTGGGTTCGCGACTCCCTCCCCCTCCCCCTCACCCTCCCTCCCCCCAACCCTTTCCACTCCCCCCACCCCCCGCCTCCCTCTCCCCTCCCCCCCCCCCCCCTTTCCCTTCCTCCCCTCCCCCCCCCCCCCCTTCCCTCCCTCCTCACAACCCCCCCCCCCCCGTCCCCTCCCCCTCCCCTATCCATCCCCCTCCTCCCCTTCTTCCTCCTCCTCCTCCTGCTCCTCCTCTGCCCCATTTCCTTATAAATAGGTTCTCCCTGTCGCACCCCGAGGCCAGTTTTTATGGTGGTCCGGTATCGCCTGAGACTTCCTCAACATGTATGACCCTGAAGCTTAGCAGCTGACAACAGTTTTACAAATGGAGGGCGGATCGTTTTCAAAATATGGCTCTCGCCGCAGCGCCGCGCACAGTCGTTTCAGACACTTGCAAGAGTTTCACGGATTGAGGGCGGGTGGTTTTCAACATGTGGCTCTCGCCGCAGCGCCACGCACATTCCATTTAAACCGTTGCAAGAGCTTCACGTATCGAGGGCGGGTGGTTTTCAAAATGTGGCTTTCGCCTGAGCGCCGCGCACATTCGTTTTCAACACCTGCACGCCTGAACGCCGCGCGCATTCGCTTTTTAAATTTGCAAGAGTTTCACGGACTCCCAAAATCAGCGTACCAAAACGCATGTATTTGAAATGATTCAGGATTATGAAGGTGCAACAGGTACGTTGATTCGGGGCACTGGCACGATTCAAGATCGCCAAGACGCAAAAGAGAGGTTGATTTGTGGCGTTGAAATCCCGAGAACAATGTTTTGGCCTGCTTCAGGCTCTTCAAAATGTTGTCTTCCAACGAGGCAGTTCCACCAGTGGAAATGAACCGTTGCAGGGGCCCATGAAGAGGGAGCTTGGAGGGAGGGTGTATTCCAACATCGTTGATGACTCTTGGGTTTCCACTGGTCCTCCTCCTCCTCCTCCTCCTCCTCCTCCCTCCTCCTCCCTCCTCCGTCCTCCCTCCTCCCTCCTCCCTCCTCCCCTCCTCCCTCCTCCTTACCCCCTCCCACTCCCTCTCCTCGTCCTCCCCTCCTCCTCCCTCCTCCTCTCCTCCTCCTCCTCCTCCTCCTCTCTCCCCTCTCTCCTCCTCCTCCTCCTCTCTCCTCCTCCTCCCCCCTTCCCCCCCCCCCTGGGCCACGGCGCCGCTGCTCCCGCGCCGCGCGGGCGCCTCTGGCCCCGGCGCCCCGCGCGGCCCCTCGCCGCGCCGCGCCCGGCGGGGCGGCCGCCGTCGCCCCCGGGGCTGCGCGGCCGGCCTCGGGCGCCCTCAGCCGCGGAGAGCTTGCGGAGGCCCCCATGAGAGGAATATGGAGAGCGGGGAGGAGGAGGAGGCAGGAGGAGGAGGAGGCAGGAGGAGGGGAGGCGGAGGAGGAGGAGGAGGAGTAGAGGGGAGGAGGAAGGAGGAGGAGGAGGAGGAGAGGAGGAGGAGGGGGGAAGAATGAGGGGAGGATGAGGAGGATGAGGAGGAGGAGGAGGAGGAGGAGGAGGAGGAGGAGGAGGTTGGGGACCGATCAGTGCAACGGCCAGAGCTCTCGGCATCGGTGTACGAAGAATTGCAGGCCTTCGCTGCACTGCAAGGCCACCTCCTGCAGGCTGCGGAAGTCTTTCTCCCCTCTGGGCTGCCTCCCTCCCAAGCCTGATCTTGTCTTTGCATGCTTGGCGTGTGGCAGCTATGCTTGGGGGAGGCATACACAGTTTGGCGCGAAGATGTGACCGCCTTCCAACGACGGTAGCTTTTGCGCGCCAGCTCAAGAAAGCCGCCAATGAGCGGTTCCCCTGTGGCTCCAGGCAGCATTCGGGTTGGTCCATCGGGGGGCTTGGAGACCCCTTCGCCGCAGGCCCTGATGGGCCTTTTGGCGCCCAAGACGCGTCACCTACCCTGGACCCTCGAAATGCGGCGCCCTCGGTAGAAATCTGGGGCCCCTGGATGAACTCAGAAAAGTTGCTCGCTCGATTCGGCCTCAACCAGGAAGCCATCAAAACGGTGATCCAGGAGAGGCGGTTGGTTTTACAGCGCAGTCGTGCGAATGGCTCTCGTCCCAGTGACGAGTAAGAGTGTCTGTTCGTGTACTTTGTTCCGTCGAATGCCTCAAGCGCCTCGGTATGTGGGAATGAAATAATGATGAGGAGGATGAGGAGGATTAGGAGGGAGGAGGAGGATGAGGAGGAGGATGGGAAGAGGAGGAGGAAGGAGGAGGAGGATGATGAGGGTGAGGAGGAGGAGGAGGGAGGAGGAGGAGGAGGGGAAGAGGGATGGAAGAGGAGGAGCGGAGGAGGAGAGGAGGAGGAGGAGGAGGAGGGAGGAGGAGGAGGAAAGGAGGAGAGGAGGAGGAGGAGGAGGAGGAGGAGGAGACATGATGAGATGATGAGGAGGTGGAGGAGAGAAGGGAGGAGGAGGAGGAGGATGGGAAGAGGAGGATGGGAGGAGGAGGAGGATGAGGGGGTGAGGAAGAGGAGGAGGAGGAGAGGAGGAGGGAGGAGGAGGACGAGGGGGAGGAGGATGGTAAGAGGAGAGGAGAGGAGGAGGAGGAGGAGGAGGAGGAGGAGGAGGAGGAGGAGAGAGGAGGAGGAGAGAAGCATGAGAGGAGGAGGAGGAGGAGGAGGAGGAGGAGGGAAGGGGAGAGGAGGATGAGGAGGATGGGAAGAGGAGGGAGGAGGAGGAGGAGGAGGAGGAGGAGGAGGTATGGGAGACGAGGAGGAGGAGGAGGAGGAGGAGGAGGAGGAGGAGGAGGAGGAGAGGGCAGGCGTGGAGGAGGGGATCATCATATCTACAGTCAACCCGCAGAGTAAGGATGCGCGATCAGGATGCAAGACCCTTGGACGCCCATTTCGAAGCTTTACGGACGGGGCGCGGCCAACGAGAGTAGCCAAGGATGGACTGGGGAGGCAAGGATGCAAGGGTACCCTTGGGAGGGATGCCTATCCTTACTCTGCGGGTCGACTGTATACGACCACCCTTCGGGTGATAATGATAAGTAGGTTAGGGGGGGGGAGGAAGAAAACCCGCTGAAAACAAATGCGATGACTCTGATGGCGATGAGATGGCGGCAAAACCCGCTGAAAACAACCCGCTGAAAACAACCCGCTCCGAGCGTGGCTCGAGAACGTGGTCTACGCGCCCATGGCCCCCGACGTCGCGAGCTTCTTGCAGGGGCCGGGCACCCGCGAGCACGGCCAACTCCAGGCCATGACCCGAGAGGTCAAGGCCGAGATGCACTGGGCCATGGATCAGGACTGGATCCAGGAGGCCAACGCCGATGCCGAGAAGCAACGCAAGTCCCCGACCAGATGGGGGCCGCGCGAGTGCCTCTACTGCGTCTCCAAGGTCTACACCCGCTTCCGTGAGAAGAATAAGGACGCGGTGCCGCTCCAAGGGCTGCGAGCGAACCAAATGCTCGCGGTCTGGCCGACAGAGCAGCGCGAGCTCAAGGTCGCCACGGGCATGGGGCCGCGGAGCTACTCCGTCGAGCCTGGCCGCGGCATCGAGCAGAGGCTGGCGAGCGAGGGCCTGGAGGGCATGCAGAGGCGGCCCGAGGGCGCGCCGCCCGCGCCCGAGTGGAGCGTCCTCGACGGGAACTGCTTCCGCCTCGACGACTTGCCCGAGGCCTGCGAGCAGGGCGAGAAGCCCTGCCCCCTGGAGCCCCAAGACCTGGACCTCGAGCTCACCGACGAGCAGAAGGACGTGCTCAGAATGCCAGAAGAGCGAGGATCCAAATCCCGCGCACCCTCGAGAATCGGATCACGCTCGAACGAATTAGCCTGGCGAAGGACCCAACCATATGCAGTTGAGAGTACCGCAATTGTGAATATCTTCTTCGGTGGCGCTCCCTATGGGGCCACGAGCCGTATGAGGGGTGTGCCGAAATGGGTGTGCGGGACGCATGCGGACGGCAGCATGGGGCCTTCGGTGGAGCTCCCTATGGGGCCACGAAACGTGTGAGGGGTGTGCCGAAATGGGTGTAGGGGACGCATGCGGACGGCAGCCATGGGGCCTTCGGTGGAGCTCCCTATGGGGCCACGAAACGTGTGAGGGGTGTGCCGAAATGGGTGTGCGGGACGCATGCGGACGGCAGCACTGGGGCCTTCGGTGGAGCTCCCTGTGGGGCCACGAAACGTGTGAGGGGTGTGCCGAAATGGGTGTGCGGGACGCATGCGGCCGGCAGCCATGGGGCCTTCGGTGGAGCTCCCTATGGGGCCACGAAACGTGTGAGGGGTGGCCGAAATGGGTGTGCGGGACGCATGCGGACGGCAGCACTGGGGCCTTCGGTGGAGTTCCCTGTGGGGCCACGAAACGTGTGAGGGGTGTGCCGAAATGGGTGTAGGGGACGCATGCGGGCGGCAGCCCTCGGGCCTTCGGTGGAGCTCCCTATGGTGCCACGAAACGTGTGAGGGGTGTGCCGAAATGGGTGTGCGGGACGCATGCGGACGGCAGCCATGGGGCCTTCGGTGGAGCTCCCTATGGGGCCACGAAACGTGTGAGGGGTGTGCCGAAATGGGTGTGCGGGACGCATGCGGGCGGCATCCCTCGGGCCTTCGGTGGAGCTCCCTATGGGGCCACGAAACGTGTGAGGGGTGTGCCGAAATGGGTGTGCGGGACGCATGCGGACGGCAGCCATGGGGCCTTCGGTGGAGCTCCCTATGGGGCACGAAACGTGTGAGGGGTGTGCCGAGATGGGTGTGCGGGACGCATGCGGACGGCAGCGCTGGGGCCTTCGGTGGAGCTCCCTATGGGGCCACGAAACGTGTGAGGGGTGTGCCGAAATGGGTGTGCGGGACGCATGCGGACGGCAGCACTGGGGGCTTCGGTGGAGCTCCCTGTGGGGCCACGAAACGTGTGAGGGGTGTGCCGAAATGGGTGTGCGGGACGCATGCGGACGGCAGCCATGGGGCCTTCGGTGGAGCTCCCTATGGGGCCACGAAACGTGTAGGGGTGTGCCGAAATGGGTGTGCGGGACGCATGCGGACGGCAGCACTGGGGCCTTCGGTGGAGCTCCCTGAGGGGCCACGAAACGTGTGAGGGGTGTGCCGAAATTGGTGTGCGGGACTCATGCGGACGGCAGCCATGGGGCCTTCGGTGGAGCTCCCTATGGTGCCACGTAACGTGTGAGGGGTGACCCGAAATTGGGGTGTGCGGGACGCATGCGGACGGGGCCACTGGTGGCCTTGGTGGAGCCCCTATGGGGCCACAAACGTGAGAGGGTGTGCGGACATGTGTGCGGGACGCAATTCGGACGGCAGCCATGGGGCCTTTCGGTTGACCTTCCTATTGCCACGAAACGTGTGAGGGGTGGCCAAATGGGTGTAGGGGACGCATGCTGGCGGCAGCCCCTCCCCCCCCCCCGGGGGGGCCCTTCGGTGGAGCTCCCTATGGGGCCACGAAACGTGTGAGGGGTGTTCCGAAGTGGTGATGACGATGACGATGACGACGATGACAATGACGATGATGATGATTTATGATGATGATGACGATTATGACGATGATGATGATGGATGATGATGATGATGATGATGAAGTGATGAATGATGATGATGATGATGATGGATGATATGATGATGAATTATTGGAGGAGGGAGGAGGGGGAGGAGAGAGGAGGAGGAGGAGGTGGGACGCGGGGCGCTGTCTCTTCAAAACGAGGACCCAACACCACAGGATGGTTGGGAAAAAGTAAAAGCAAGAACAGGTGGGCGTCCAAGTTCCGGGGCCAGTTCCTGTGCAAGCTGCGGCGCAAGTGGCAGCGCGCGAAGGCCGAGACTGGCGGCGAGGCCTCGCTCGAGCACTCGGGCCGGGGCGCGGCAATGGCGACGCTCGCAGACAGGGAGCCGAAGGCCAAGACGAGCTTCTCCCAGAAGTTCAAGGCCAAGGCGCAAATGGAGAAAGACGCCAAGAAGAAAGCGAAGGCCAAGGCGAAAACGGGTCTCGAGGCTTGCGAGGGCCCCCCCTGGCACGGCAAGGCGGCCCGCGTCGCCGAGGAGGGAGTCCGCGAGGGCAGGCGCGGCAGAATGCAAGACGCCCGGCGAGTCCCGGGCACCGGGGGCGCGCGCGGCCTGCGCGCCCACGAGGTGGAGACCGTGACGATCTTCCATATCGACAGCGGCGAGGCTCGGAAGCTCACGTGCACTCGCTAGCTTCCGCCTGCTTCCGCCCGAGGCGGCGGAAGCAAGCGGAAGCTAGCGGAAACGGCGGAAGCGACTGCGGAAACAGCGGAAGTAGGCGGAAAGCTGGCGGCGGAAACGACGGCGGAGGCCTGAAGCCACGAAGCGGAAGCAGGCGGAAGCTAACGAGTGCCTGTGAATCCCGAGTGCCACAGGTCACGATCGAGCAGGACTACCAGTTCCCCAAACCGAACAAGCTCGACTGGCGCCAGACCGAACTGGCTCGCCGCGCCGAGCTCGCCAAGGAGTACGTGATCATGAACTGCGAGCAAATCGTCAAGGGCGACACCCTCGAGCTGGGCACGGTGCGCGCGCTGCTGGGCGAGATCGAGGAGCGCGCGGGCGTCCCCGCGACCGTTCTGGTGGTCGAATCCACGGTGACCGTCGCCTGGGCTCGAGAGGGCCAGGGCGAGGGCGAACCCGCCGCCCAGCAATCTGAGGAGCAGAAACGCTGGGCCGAGAGAGTCCACAAGGCCGCGCGCGCCCTGATCTGCGCGCATTCCGAGGCACCCGCGCACTACACCTAGCTCAAGGCCGGTGGTTGCCACAGTTGTCCCAACCCCAAGGTGCCTCCAGTTTTTCGCTCCGTTTTGGCGCGAATCCTGGAGGCACCCTGAGCAGGGGGCACTTGTAGCAACGCCCGCAAAAGTCTCGAGGATCGGCGGGGGCGTCGCGGTGGAGTACCGCGACGCCCTCAAGCAGCCGTCCGAGAACGCCAAACAGGCCCAAAGGGCCACATACGAAATCACACCTACACCCTACGATTTCTGAGGGGGGAGGTCGGGTTCACTTTGCTCGGGAGCTGCCGAATGAAGTGAACCCCGCCGTTCTCCTCAGAAATCGTGTGTGTGGGGAATGGGGATGTAGGGGTAGGGTTCGCGCGTGGCCTCCGAAGGCCGCCACGAGGATCCTCCGCAAACTCGGCGCCATTGGCCCTGGCGTGACCTGCCCTGCAAGGAGCAACGACATGTTCCAGGGCGACGCCTGGTCCTGCGGCCTGTGGACGAGTCGCTGGATCGAGAGCGTCCTGCGCGAGATCCGAGGCGAAGGCCGCCAAGCGCCCGTGAGCATCAACACGATGTGCGCCCGAGGCAACGAGTGGATCAACAAGCTCCAGGAGGCCAGCGACAACGACTTGGCCAAGGCCAAAGCAAAGGCCAAGAGCAAAGCCAAGTCCAAGCCCTTCAAGGACCCCACGGCGGTCGAGACGAAACCCAAGCCTGCACCATGCGCCTCCCGTGCAAGGACGGCTCCAAAGGGTGCCGAGCCTGCATGGGCGAGTGGTTCGAGGTCGTGCGCAAGAGAGGTTTCTTGGCCAGGAGCGCCGAGGACCTCTCTTGCGCAGGCAAGTTGTAGCCACGAGACTCGAGATCTCTCGAATCAGTATACACGAGCGCCCAAAATCACCATCAGCATCATCATCATCAACATCATCATCATCATCATCATCATCATCATCATCATCATCATCATCATCATCATCATCCTTCCCCGGGAAAATCGTTGATGATCCCCGCCGGACCCCCGAACTTTATCACCCCCAGGGATTATTATCGGGGGCACAAGGTTATTGCGATCCCAGACAAACTGGCGACGGACCCTTGGCTGCCCCGATACGCAACACGCAGCACGTATCGTATTGATACGAAGCTCAACACGTATGCTGAACACGTAGGTCCGACGCGATACATTCGCCAAAACGTGGTCCAATACGTGGGGCCAACACGCAACGTATTGACACGGACGTCCTGGAGACGGCACGTGTTGCGATTCAAAACGGGCGTATCGAGGCAGGTAAGGACGGGCAAGCTCCCGACATCACCCCGTCGCGCCAGAAATCGCGACGGGAGGTCTGCGGCACCGCTCTGCCTGTGGGGATCCCTGCGCTGGGCCCTGGAGCCGTCATCCAAAAACAGTCAGGATGAAAAGCGCGTCCCCGGGAAGGCGTCATCGATGGATCGACGGTCGAAAGAGGAAGACAGAGAGAAAGAGAGAGAGAGAGAGAGAGAGAAACAGGAAAGGGAACAGCGAGATCGAAGAGAGAGGCAAAGGATGCAGGAGAGGGGAGAGGGATGAAAAGCAGCAGGGAGACCACGCAAACGACTGGCAAGCCTGCGCGCAAGCCCAGCAATACTCCCACAACTCGTCCTCGCCCCGCCCGGCCACCGCCGACACGACGCGGGCGCTGCGCACGCCGAAGATCGAGGCCAAGGAGGCCGGGCAAGCTTCGCTGGCCTGCGGCGCAGTCCCTCGAGGGCAAAAGGGGGATGGAGGGAGGATGACGGAGTCAGCAGGAACGTAGTAGGAGGTGGGGATGCAGATGGACGAAGAGGAGGGAGGCTGGAGGAGGGGCGAGGGAGGAGAGTCGGGAGAGGGTGGAGACGAAGACGAGAAGGAAGAGCACGCGGATCATGAAAGGAAGGCGTAGGAGCAGCGCTTGGTTCGCCCAGAGGAGAGAATCCAGTAATGGTGTCACGTAGCTTCCTTACGGAATCGGGCTCGTTTCAACCGTTCGCGCAAGTCGCAAGCCATGTTGCTCGAAGCTTGCTAGGTTATGCGCGGCAATCTCAGTCACCACGCTCCCTGTATATATTAGAGCGAATGTGATAGAGAAAGAGAGGATCAAGAGAGAGAGAGAGAGAGAAAAGCATATCTAGAGAGGGAGAGAGAGGGAGAGAGAATTAGCCTGGCGAAGGACCCAACCATATGCAGTTGAGAGTACCGCAATTGTGAATATCTTCTTCGGTGGCGCTCCCTATGGGCCACGAGCCGTATGAGGGGTGTGCCGAAATGCGTGGCAGTGTACACAACACGAACGAAGACGATAGGTCCGAATATGAAAGCTTGAGCGCGTGCGAGTCGGATCGGAGTCTGATTATGAATGAATCTGCGCGCGATTGATTCTATTCGCATGAATGCGTGCATGGATACGCCCAGTGTAAATGTATGTATACGACTGTGAACAGTTTGGGTCTGCGTGACGCTCGGTACTCGTGACTCTGAGCGTCGCCTCTGCAGGGGGCTTCCCTGGGAACCCCGACGGCAGCGCCCGCGCGCCGCGACGCCCATGTCGGCACGCCACACACCTGTTGTGCGGGACGCATGCGGACGGCAGCACTGGGGCCTTCGGTGGAGCTCCCTGTGGGGCCACGAAACGTGTGAGGGGTGTGCCGAAATGGGTGTGCGGGACGCATGCGGACGGCAACCATGGGGCCTTCGGTGGAGCTCCCTATGGGGCCACGAAGCGTGTGAGGGGTGTGCCGAAATGGGTGTGCGGGACGCATGCGGACGGCAGCACTGGGGCCTTCGGTGGAGCTCCCTATGGGGCCACGAAACGTGTGAGGGGTGTGCCGAAATGTGTGTGGGTGACGCATGCGGCCGCGGGCACTGGGGCCTTCGGTGGAGCTCCCTATGGGGCCACGAAGCGTGTGAGGGGTTGGCCGAAGTGGATGGGGGTGACGCATGCGGCCGCGGGCACTGGGGCCTTCGGTGGAGCTCCCTATGGGGCCACGAAACGTGTGAGGCGTGCGCCGAACATGCGCGCTGCGGGAACGCAAATGCGGACGGCAGCCATTAGGGCCTTCGGTGAGCTCCTATGGGGCCACGAAAACGTGTTGAGGGGTGTGTGCCCGAAATGGGTGTGCGTGCGGGGCGCATGCGGACGGCAGCACTGGAGCTCTAGGGCCTTCGTTGGGAGCTCCGCTCTCTGTGGGGGCCACGAAACGTGGTGAGGGGTGGTGCCCGAATGGGTGTGGCGGAAAACGCATGCGGACGGCAGGCCATGGGGCCTTTCGATGGAACTTCCCCTATGGGGGCCACGAGGCCGTGTGAGTGGTGTGCCTAAAATGGTGGGTGCGGGACGCATGCGGACGGCAGCACTGGGGCCTTCGGTGGAGCTCCCTGTGGGGCCACGAAACGTGTGAGGGGTGTGCCGAACTGGGTGTGCGGGACGCATGCGGACGGCAGCCATGGGGCCTTCGGTGGAGCTCCCTTTGGGGCCACGAAACGTGTGAGGGGTGTTCCGAAATGGGTGTGCGGGACGCATGCGGACGGCAGCACTGGGGCCTTCGGTGGAGCTCCCTGTGGGGCCACGAAACGTGTGAGGGGTGTGCCGAATGGGTGTGCGGGACGCATGCGGGCGGCAGCCATGGGGCCTTCGGTGGAGCTCCCTATGGAGGCCACGAAACGTGTGAGGGTGTGCCGAATGGGTGTGCGGGACGCAAAAATGCGACGGCAGCACTGGGGCCTTCGGTGGAGCTCCCTGTGGGCCACGAAACGTGTGGAGGGGTGTGCGAAATGGGTGTGCGGACGCATGCGGACGGCAGCCATGGGGCCTTCGGTGGAGCCCCTATGGGGCCACGAAACGTGTGAGGGGTGTGCCGAAATGGGTGTGCGGGACGCATGCGGACGGCAGCACTGGGGCCTTCGGTGGAGCTCCCTGTGGGGCCACGAAACGTGTGAGGGGTGTGCCGAAATGGGTGTGCGGGACGCATGCGGACGGCAGCCATGGGGCCTTCGGTGGAGCTCCCTATGGGGCCACGAAACGTGTGAGGGGTGTGCCGAAATGGGTGTGCGGGACGCATGCGGACGGCAGCACTGGGGCCTTCGGTGGAGCTCCCTGTGGGGCCACGAAACGTGTGAGGGGTGTGCCGAAATGGGTGTGCGGGACGCATGCGGACGGCAGCCAGGGGGAGGAGGAGAGGAGGAGGAGGAGAGGAGGTGGGACGCGGGGCGCTGTCTCTTCAAAACGAGGACCCAACACCACAGGATGGTTGGGAAAAAAGGGAGAGAGAGAGAGAGAGAGAGAGAGAGAGAGAGAGGGAGGACGAGATAGAGACAACAGACAGAGAACACGAGAGGGAGAGAGAGAGAGAAGGATAACCTGAGGGAGACAAAATAAAGGCAGGTAGCAACGATCGTCTGCAACAGACGCATGACCCCCTCACACATCCTTGCCATACCAATCACACTCTTGGCCTTGCCTCTTTCATATTGCATGCCTTTGCCTTTCGATCTCTCTTCTCTGGTCATCTCCCTGGCGCTCTCCCCTCTTCCTCGCTTTCCCACCCCTCCTCCGTCTCCTCCGCATGTTGCTTCCTCCTTCTGCTGCTGCTGCTGCTGCTGCTGCTGCTGCTGCTGCTCATCCTCATTCACCTGCTGTTGCTGCTGCTCCTCCGTTCCCCGCTTCCCCCCACCAGGCGTTCTCTGGGGAAGACTCGCGCTTGGAAACATCCTTTCACATCTGATTCCCACCTCTCCCACCTGCATTCTCCCCCACCTCTTCAGCTTAAGGAAGCCTGGCCATGGCTCGCACATCGATTCGGACGTCTTTCATGGAAAGACTTGTACCAGGACCCATGCTCTCCAATCTCCCCCACCCCCTCCCCCACCTGCACCTCTTGTATTCTTCCCCTTCCCCCCACCTGAACATGCCCCCACCTCCCCCTCCTCTCCACACTTTCCTCCTCCTTTGTAAACCTCCTGCCCCTCTTCGTCGTCGTCCTCCTCGTCAAGACTGAAGACTGCGGACCTTCTTTTCCGTCCAGGGTGTCGGCGACGTCGTCGTCCTCCTCCTCATCCTCCTCCGTTTCGTCCTCCCTCTCAATCTCCTCGTCCACGTCCATTTCCGCCTCGCTCTCCGCCTCCGCCTCCGCACCCACTTCCGCCTCCGCCTCCCCGACCTCCTCCTACGGTCAGGAACCAGATACTTTTGCTTAGCGTGTCGCAGCGGCGGCCCCGGCGACACGCCATCCCTTGCACGCGGATAGCGTGCCGCTCGGCTCTGCGGGGGGGGGAGATCTGAGAAGCTCGGCACGTGAACGCCTGGGGGGGACCAGGAAGCGGATGGCGTGTCGTGCCGAATCGTGGTGGCTAAACCCGAACTCCTGAACGTGTACCTCCTCCTCCCCTCCTCCTCCTCCTCCTCCTCCTCCTCCTGCTCCTCCTCCTCCTCCTCCTCCTCCTCCTCCTCCCCCTCATACTTCAGCCCTTCTTCGCAAACCTGGAGCACGAAGGCGGATCATATTGGACTTCTGGAGAACTCGCGGGTTGGAGGGGGGGGCGGTCAGAACTTCTGTACCCTGCCGCCGAGGTTGGCTTCCCCACTCCTCTCTGCGGGGCCCAGGCTGGGCTTCAAGCGTCCACGGCGGACGGCACCGCCACGCCGGGGGGGAAGCCGATGACCGGGCTCGCGAGTGCCGGGGAGTGAAGACCGAGCCGCGTCGGGACTGGGAGCTCGGGGGTGCCCAGAAACGAATTGATAATTCGAATCGGCGATCGACCTGAACCGGATATCGGCGGAAATCGGCAGCCAAGTCGGGGCAAGCCGCATCGGCGGGAATCGGCAGGCTGGTGGGCCTCCATTGGAAAATCGGAATCCAATCGGGGCCCCAAGTCGAATCAAATCGGAATCGGAAGCCATCGAGGTCGAATCGAATCGGATCGGAGGAGTCGAGACTCGCCCTGGGGATCTCGGGGGTGCCCAGTTACAGCAGACACTTGCGATTGCAGGTCTGGCCAACCTGAGTTGCAGGAAAGACAGCGTGGACCCCGACCAGGACGGGGCGCGGAAGTGTCGGAGTCGATCTTCGTCGTCAGCCATCTTGGCAGTCGCCGTCAGTTCTCAAGGGGCCCCGGGACACACAAATAAATACACACAAATAAAATGATTCCCCATATTTTCCCATATTTTCTGGGTTTTTGTTTCCCCCCCACTTCCCATATTTTCCAATGATCTTCTGGGGGATCGACGATTAATTATGTCTGTGTGTTTCTTTCCCTCCTGAATCTTGGCAGTCGCCGTCAGTTCGTGGATGACACTCGCGCGCCGGCGTCGGCGGACGAGCACCACGATCAAGATCGGAGCTGGCAGGGAAGGAACCGAACTCCATACACCGACGCTTTTTCCGACCCTGCGCTGGAATTCGCACAGGAGCGCGGATCCTGGTGTGTACGGGATCCTGGTGTCTACATTTGTCGTTGTTTCCCCTGGGAAACGGGGGAAAAGTATACACCACACCACCCCGACGTCGACCCCGACCCTCGAAAAGTCGTGGGATTGAAAAAAAAAAACAACACGCCACTGGTACTGTATATGCTTCAGTTTCCGACCAAGAGCCCGCGACCTCTTGGTCATGGTCGTCGTGCATCCTTCCCCCGACAGCAGCAGGGGGGGGGGGAGGGGGCACACCCTCCGGCGGCGAGCCCGTGGAGGAAGCGAGAGGGGGCCGGCCCCCTCAGGAGGCGGCGGGGGCCTCTCGGGAGCCCTCCCGCCTCCGGGGCAACCCTCGACGGCTTCGGGAAAGGCCCAGAGGGCTCCTCCGGCAGGCCAGAGAGCCTCCCTTGCCGTCGCTCGGACGTCCACTTCCCGTGCACTGGTCGGCTTCGTGCGTGTTGTTGTTATACTTTTTTTTTTTTTGTGTGTGTGTACTTCGTCGTCGCGGTTGTTGTGGCGGTGCTGTTGATGTTGTGGTTGCTGTTGCTGCTGCTGCTGTAGCTGTAGTTGTTGCTGTTGCTGTTGTTGTTGTTGTTGCTGCTGCTGCTGCTGCTGTAGCTGTAGTGGTTGCTGTTGCTGTTGTTGTTGTTGTTGATATCCTTTTGTTAGTGTTAATGTTGTTGTGGTTGTCGTTGTTGATGGCGGTGTTGTTATTGTTGTTATGTTGTTATTCATGTAATTGTCGTTGTCGTTGTCGTCGTCGCCTTTGAAGTTGCTGTTGTAGATGTTGTTGTTGTTGTTGTCGTCGTCGTCGTCGTTGTCGCTGTTGTTGTCGTTGTAATTGTCGTCGTTGTTTTGACTCGATGAGCCAAGGTGCTCCTCGGTGCCCCACGCCGAGGAGAAATGCACACGTCCGAGCGATGCCAAACCTCCCGGGCCGTTCCTGAGTCGGGGGCGGCCAAGAGGGGGGCGTCCAAGAGGGGGGGGCGCAAATCGTGGCCAGCGCCATGTGCGCGGCCCAGGGGGGGTGGGGGGGGCAGGAACGCGATGAAATAAGAAGAGGCGCCATGAAATCTGGGTAAATAATATGGCCCACGCCATGATTTTGGACTCCCGAAATGGGTACGGAAAGAATGGGTGCAATGCCCAATAGCAGTCCTTGCTCATTTTGAACAGGACTCGCTGTCGGTGTCGCCGCGGCCTGTGTACATTTGAGACAGAGGGCCGCCTGCCCATCAGCGGACGCTGTTGGTTTGGTACAACATTTGTTGTTGGGCATTGTACCCATTCTTTCCGTGCCCATTTCGGGCGTCCAAGATGATATCCCTTCCCCCTAGTCATCACCCCCCTCTCTGCCGCCCCCAACGGAGGAGGCGCGCCCCCCCTGCCAACCCCCGCCAGCCCCCTGGGCGCCGCCGAACAGGGGCGGCGCCCCCCCTCCCCCCCCCACGAAGGTGGGACCTCCTCCTCCTCCTCCTCCTCCTCCTCCGCCTCCTCCTCCTCCTCCTCCTCCTCCTCCCCCTTCTCCTCCTCCTCCTCCTCCTCCTCCTGGCCTCCTCCTCCTCCTCCCTCCTCCTCCTCCTCCTCCTCCTCCTCCTCGCCTCCTCCTCCTCCTCCTCCTCCTCCTCCTCCTCCTCCCCCTCCTCTTCTTCTTCCTCCTCCTTATCCACTGATCACAACACGGGTGGGAGAACTTGCCGTCCTTGTGTCCTTGGTGCCCGTGCAGAAATTCGCAGTCTGACTAATACAATCGGACTCGATTGGGGAGGACACGCGAGAGGACACAAAACCCTTCCGAGGGCCACGTTGTCACAGAACTGCAGGAAGCATGGGTCGCGAGACACAGGACACGAGGGTACCCTTGATCTGGCAGGGTCGACCTACTAATCCGGACCGCCTGTATTCTGCTAGCTGCAGCGCCGCTCAATCTCGACAAGCCGTATGCTTCAGCGAGGAGCCAATCCACAAATCTCCCCCCCACGAGGCCGCCTCCGCGCTGGGCGCACGGGGCCCTGCCATCGCTCGGACCGCCACTTTCCCCGTGTGTGTGGCTCGGTTTCGGACGTCTTTGTCATGTTGTTTGTTGGTGTGCTTGTATTTCGGTCTCTGTGTTTTGTTTGTTCCGGACGTGTTTATCATGTTGTGTGTTGGTGTGTGCTTGTTTTTTGATCTCTGTCTTTTTTGTTTGATTAATTTGTTATACTCGTGGTGGTCCAGTCTGCTCCAGTCGGCGGCGAGCGAGCGGGGGGAAGTGAGAAGGATTTTGCCCTCTGAGAAGGCGACGGGGCTCCTTACAAGCCCTCAGGCCTTCTGAGAAATGTCCTGTGTCCTCGGGGAAGGCTCAGACAACTTCTCAGAAGGCCGGGGACTTCCGCGCCTTCTGAGAAAGCCTTCTCCTTCGGGGACGCACTGACCCAGGTCAGTGCAAACCCCGGTCAGCCAGGCCTTGCACAATCCTGCAAACTCCTGCAGGATCCTGCACCCTAGCCCAGGTCGGTGCGACCCTGGCGCTGCAGGATTCTGCAAGATCAGGCGGTCTGACAAACCCCCGCTTGCAGCGACCCCCGTCTCAAGGTTCCCGACTCCTTCTCACCTCCCGATCCTCCTCCCCCTCCTCCTCCTCCCCTCCTCCTCCTCCTCCTCCCCCTCCTCCTCCTCACCTCCTCCTCCTGCTTCTCCTCCTCTCCTCTCCTCCTACTACTCCTCCCCTCACCTCCTACTCCTCCTCCTTTTTCCTCCCTCCTCCTCCCTCCTCCTCACTCCTCCTCCCTCCTCTCCTCTCCTCCTCCTTCCTCCTCCACTCCTCCTCCTCCTCCTCCTCCTCCTCTCCTCCTCCTCCCCCTCCTCCCCTCCCTCACCGCTCATCATCCTCCTCTTCCCCCTCCTCATACTCCCTCCTCCTCCTACTCCTCTCCTCCTGTCCTCCTCCTCCTCCTCCCCTCCTCATCCTCCTCCTCCTCCTCCTCCCCTCCCCTCTATCCTACTAACCTCCCCCTCCTACCTCCTCTCCTACTCCTCATCCTCATTACCTCCTCTCCTCATCCTCATCTCCTCTCCTCCTCCTCCTCCATCCTCCTGCATCCTCCTCCTCTACTACTCCTCCCCCTTCTCCTCCTCCTCATCCTCCTCCTCTCCGACTCCTCCTACTACTCCCCTCCTCCCTCCTCCTCCGCCCCTCTCAATTCTCCTACCTCCTCCTCATCTCCTCCTCCTCACCTCCTCCTCCTCCTACCACTCTTCGTTTTCCTCCTCCCTATCCACTGATCACAGCACGTGTGGGAGAACTTGCCGTCCTTGTGTCCTTGGTGCCCGTGCAGAAATTCGCAGTCTGACT